GGCTCATTTTAGGTCAGACTTAGACCACGTTCCTCCGTCGCCAGCACCTCCTTCAGCGCCTACGTCGACGGACAGGAACTTGTAGTTTGCATCTGCGACGGCCATGAGTACATTACTGTGGAACTTCTTGTAGATACAGTACACTGATCCTCCATTTGGTGGTTTCTTTATTGGGACATGCTTCCCTTCAAGTGCACCTCCACAGTTATGGTAGTTCCATCTCTTAGAAAGTCCCTGGGCGACCTTCTTCCATGCCTCGGGAGTTTTGGGGCACTTCATAACTTCAGGTTTGTAGGTGTCGATGATGGCTTGGCACATTCGAGGCACAAATCTGCAGATGGCACTCTTGGGGACTCTGAAACTATATTGCAGAGTTTCCAGTTGCCAGAAAGCGGAGGGTGACTGCCAGTTTCAAGCCCACTGATGGAGGAAGTCGTCTTTGTGTCTTTCTTGGTTAGTCTTGGAGATATCCTTTCAACCGTCTCGGAAAACAATTCGGGTTGGATCCGGACGAAGTTTTTGAAGTTTTTGAAGCCCCTTTTGTCTTCTTTATTTAGTTCTTCTAGGAGCTGGTGATAATCGCCATGTATAGATCTTCTCATCAGCCATTCACGGCACCAAATCCTCTTGCTTATTTGTGTCGATGGTGGTTGCGGCCACGGTGGCACAGGTGGTCGCTATAGGCGTTTGGGTCCTCTCCAATAGACATCAAGTAGACAGGCTGCAGCTGCAATAAGGAGACCTGCAATCATCCTGTCGGCCTCCTGTCTTGTGTAGTGTTGCTGCTCCATCCTCGATGATGCTCGATGATGCACTGAATAACATCCACAACATCAGGCTCTTACATACCCCCCACAACCCCTAATATCCAAGTAAATTTTATTGCATCACCACACCTTGCGAGACACCGTGACACCGTGACACCTCGCAACACTGCGTAAAACCTCTTCCACCCCTCGTGCCATCCCGTGACACAGGCAACAGACACTGCGTCCACTGCGCAAGGCACCGTGACACCAACTCGTGCCACGCCGCAACATCTCGCAAGCAAGCCGTAACATTTCTTACGGTGTGTCACAACGTCATGGCATCCCGTGCTATTTTGGCTGCATTTTCGTGTACGCATTGCCGCGGCCGCACGCCGTGCCACGCCACAAGCTCAAAATGCGCGTGTAACAACCTAAATGTTGACACTTGCGTATTTTGAGCTTGCGCAGTGGACGCGGTGTCTGTTGCCGAAGTGTCACGGGATGGCACGAAGGCTGGAAGAGGCTTTACACAGTGTTGCGAGGTTTTACGGTGGAGTAGTATCGTGGCAAGAAAGAATGGTATGTCCCAGACGCCGACCACATGATATATACTAATGTATAATTTATATTTTATTTTGCTGGACATGTCTATTTATTTTTTCTGTACATTATTATGATCTGCTATGTTGAAAATAAAAAGGAGTATACTGTCTATAATAATTTATTCGTTGCCATCCCTTTTATTCAGATTTGATATTGAAAGAGATGGATTTTTTGAAGTATAAAAGGTTGATATTACAAATAATAAATAAAAACTTTATCAAATAATTTTATTTACACGAACATATACTTTAAAGTTAAATAAAATTTCTTTTAAAAAATAACATGAAATATACGATAATAAATAATCTTGGTCGCTTTCGGTTTCGATGCTCGCGGGGTTTCCAGACCCGAGGAGGAGCCACTTCTTCTCCCGCGGGACCGATCTGAAGGCGGCGTCGGGTCGAGGATCGAGAAGGGCGACGGGAGTGATATCGGGATCATCCCTGGCGTCCAAGGTGGCTGCTGCTGCTGCCACGGGACCCTGCGGCGACTTACGGTGGTGTGTCTCACGGCCTCTCTTGCGCAGTGTTGCGACGGCGCCACACCGTGCCACACCGCGACACAAATTTTAAAAGTTTCAAATTTCTTGCGACGTCGTGCCACTTGGCACGGTGTACGCGACTTTTTCTTGCGGCTTGCCACGAGGTGTTTTGCGGCCTGGACACGCACTGACGCGGTCCCTAGTTCAATGCGTGCCCAGGTCGCAAAATACCTCGTGGCAAGCCGCAAGAAAAAGTTGCATACACGGGCCAAGTGGCACGGCGTCGCAAGAAATTTGAAACTTTAAATTTGTGTCGCGGTGTTACGGCTTCGCAAAGCTGCGCAAGAGAGGCAGAAAGACACGTCGGGTCACCTCGCGTCACACAGCGGCATGTTTGACGCCGTAACAACATGGCACGGATTCTTGCGGTGTGGCACGGAAGACCACGACCTCTGTACCGACGTCTTGCGCACAATTGACGGTGTGTTGCGAGCTGTCGTGGGGTACCTGGCACAAAGGCGCGATGCTACTTTTTCATTGGTCGACGTGTAATCCCACAGATATAAAGGCGGATCAGCGGCCATAAACCATCAGTCATCTTCGAGCACCTTTTGAGACAACAACTACTACTACCACCTACCAGAATGCCGCACAAGAAGCAACAGCCCCAGATCCTGCCTTCTCTTCGACCGATTTGTTCAGCCGAATCCGAGGAGGAGCTCCATCCTGACGATCCAGAGGCCACTGCCCATGAAGAAGCTGCTGTTGTTGGCACTCCATCTTCCCAAGGAGCGATACCAGGACCACAGAAGAAGAGGTACCATCCCAGCAAGAGAGATATACCGGATTATCAGTCCTCGAGATAGCGGAATTCGTGAGGCAGCACCCCAGCCTCTACGACAAACGGGATGAACAGCGGTGCAACCCCAAGCTGAAGGAGACCCTGTGGAAGGAACTTACCGAAACCTTTACCGAGTGCACCTACCTGCAGGTGAGGAAGTTCTTCGAGGCCAAGCGGACGGATTTTGGCGAGATCGAGAAGAGGGAAAGCAGAAGTGGTGCACCAGCAAGAGGAAGGGCGGCGAGGGAAGAAGCAATCGTGGAAACCTGGTCCTTCCTTCATGGCCACGTCGCCCATGAAACGACCCTCTTGAGCGATACCTTCTCGCCTTCCCAAAGGTCATCACCGGCGCTCCAGCAGATGGAGGACGAACCATTTCCAAGACGTGACGGCGAAGATTCTCTCAGTGGCCTGTCTGGTCTGTCTGCCGCTCCAGTCATGAGGAGGAGTAAGCTGATGGAAAAGAAGCGACGGTCATCGGTCTCATCTGAAGTAGTGTCCCCCAGCAGAGCAGAGGAGACGTTAGACGGACACGCCATCAAGGAGCTCCTCAACAGGGCGAATTTACTCCAGCAGAAGAGTGAACCCCAAGGATATGAGGCCGAGCCCCAGCAACTCCGCTCTTCCCTCTGCACCAAGCTCCGACGAGTGGCGCCAGTCAACTTCAGCATGATGTCCTTCAAGATCCTAGAACTCGTCACTGTTATGGGGGAACCGCCTGAAGGAGGGAAGGGGAGAAGGAAGGGGAGAAGGAGAGGGAGAAGGATATGTAGAATATATGAGTGTGTGTGTGTGTGTGTGTATACATATATATGTATGTATGTATATGTCGTAACCTAACCTAACCTCACCAAATTGCAGCTAATGTAACCTATCCTGGATTAAACTGATTTACGATAAAGTTTATGTGAGAAAACGAAATTTGGAGTCTCCTGGTCAAATTTGAGCCTAACCTAACCTAAGATTCAAAACCCCAAGAGAATCCTCGACTCGTTCGGATTTGGACCTTCGACTTCGTCAGCATCCCAGCAGCCACAGTTTAGGCAGCCACCTCAGCACCCCATGCAGTCGGGAATGATGCCCCTGCTCCCATAATGCCCATCCCATACCAGCCGCAGCAGTATCAGCTGCCGCAGTACTACCACCACCAGCAGCCCATGCCCCAGCAGCAGAACGATTAGCTTATCTGATATATTTGTGTAATAATTGCACTTCAAAATAAGTCTACTTATAAATTATGACATACCACACAGCAGATTGTTCTATGCTGTATAATAGATATATGAAGTTTAAATCTATTAATTTCGTTCATGGCTATGATTATTCCACTGTAATTCATTCAATGATTGTTGTATTAGCCGCTGGATGTGCATCGAGTGTGCGCCATAAATTCCCTCGCATAATTTTTCCCTTTTTTGACGAAGGGCATTTATTTGGCAATGAATCATGCCTTTCGATGCCTTTTCGGGACCAAAGCCAAGCGGGATTCGAATTCTTGAATCATTCTTAAAAATTGCATAGCACTTCTGTTATACTT